TGAGCTGAAGAGCTGAGGGACAGCACCCAGGCCCAGAGTTCAGGCCTCACGACCGGACCCTAAATAAATAAATAAATAGAACCTGGCTCAACATTTATTTGAAAAGGAAAGTGAACTACAACATTTGCTAACATGGAAGCAGAACACCTAACAGAGATGGCTTGTGGACCAGGGTCTTTAGAGAGGCTTTGAAGGTGTCAGAAGCCTAAATTCAGAGTTCCCATTGCATGGGTTTCTCAAGTTTTCATCAGAACACAAACTGGTTGTAACAAAGGACCAGAGATACCTTACGAAGAACCCAAGCACCAGTAGTAGCTCATATCTTTAATCCTAGCAACTCAGGAGGCTGAGATCTGAGGACTTCAGTTCAAAGCTAGCTAAGGGCAGAAAAATCCCCGAGATTTTTATCTCCAATTAATCAGCAGAAAACAGTAGAATTAACCAATAGAAGTGTGGCTCAAGTGGTAGAACACTAGCTTTAAGCCAAAAAGCCATGTAAGAATATAAGGATCTGGGCTGGGAATGTGGCTTACTGACAGAGTGCTTCTTTAGCATTCATGAAGCCCTGGGTTCAATTCCTCAGTATCACATACACAGAAAAAGCCGGAGGGGCTGGGAAGGTGGCTCAGTGGTAGAGTGTTTGCCTTGCATGCCTGAGGCCCTGGGTTCAATTCCTCAGCACCACATAAGCAAAAAGAAAAAGCCAGAAGTGGCACTATGGCTCAAGTGGTAGAGCTCTAGCCTTGAGCTGAAGAGCTGAGAGACAGCGCCCAGGCCCAGAGTTCAGGCCCCACGATTGGACCCCTCCCCCCCCCAAAAAAAAAAGAAAAGAAAAAGCCGAATGTGGTGCTGTGGCTCAAGTGGTAGTGTGCTAGCTTTGAGCAAAAGAAGCTCAGAGACAGCATCCAGGCACTGAGTTCAAGCCCCAGGACTGGCAGAAAGAAAGAAAGAAAGAAAGAAAGAAAGAAAGAAAGAAAGAAAGAAAGAAAGAAAGAAAGAAAGAAAGAAAGAAAGAAAGAGAAAGAAAGAAAGAAAGATAAGGGAGAGAGAGAGAGAGAGAGGGAGGGAGGGAAGGAGGGAGGGAAAAATATGGCTCTGAGTGAGTTCAAGTTGTAGTACTGGGATGGACACACACACACACACACACACACACAAATTACTAAACGCAGGACCTACCTGCCTTTTTTTTCTTTTTTGTTGGTTGTGGAGCTTGAACTCTGAGCTTGGACACTGTCCCTGCCCTCTTCAGCTCAAAGCAAGCGCTTCACCACTTGAGCCACAGTGCCACTTCTGGTTTTCTGAGTGGTTTATTGGAGATAAGAGTCTCACGGACTTTCATGCCCAGGCTGGTTTTGAACTGGGATTCCCCAGATCTCAGCCTCCTGAGTGGCTAGGATTTTAGGCATGAGCCACCGGCGTCCAGCCCTACCTACCTTTAAACATCTATTCATTCACTTATGAATGAGTGCTTGAGACTTTGCTCTTCCTACCTTACCTTCCTACTCCCCATCTTTCCCCTCAGTGTGGATGATCTAACCAGCTGCTATGCAAAAATTAGGTTTTCCATCTGGTTTCATGCATTTATATATTTATTCATTCATTCTGCACTTCTGGGGCTTTCTGCATACTAACAGGCACTCTACCCCAAGCCTGTTCCCGCCCCTCCTTTTTTGGGGGGGAGAGGGGGTCAGGTTGTCGGGCCTGAACACTGTTCCTCAGCTCTTCAGCTCAAA